CCTTTTTTTTATGTACTCCTTTTATTTTTTTATGGGGCTTTTGGCTACTCTAACATTCCCCCCTCTGAAGAGGTAACCATAAAATCTTTTAAGGATTAGATAAAAGCTCCCAAATACTTTAGACATGTTTGGCCTTTGGAGCAGGGTATGTTGCTAAGAGGCCCAAGGACATTGTGAGTTTTAGCCAAGAAACTGACACACCAGTTTTGGGGATTTTTTTCTTATCCAATATGTAAATATAGTAGCCCTCATCTTCCTTGATCTTTGAGAGGGTTTAAATAATTAACATATGTAAAATACATAGTATAGAACTTATATATTGCAAGTGTTCAATAAATATTTTTGTTATTTTTTAATTATCATGATGAATTCGGCATTTTTTTCCTCTTATGCTGTAGCTTCTACCACAAGTTTTTTAGACACCAGAAGGAAAGAATTTGGCTCACTGTCAGTGCCTAACCAGCACTACCTAACTTACCTCCCTACTACAAATGCAACCAAAAGTGTAACAAGACACTTGAGCTTTAGAGAGCAGGATAATTACAGGCATGCAGTGTTTTTATCTTAGAAGTAAAGAAAAAGCCAAGAAATGGAGGTCACAGGGAGGGGATGATTATGTACGATGACTGGGTCCATTAAATATGACTGATGTGGACAGAGGAAAGAGACATGTTACTCTGATAGCAGCCTAGTTAGGGGAGGTAGAGGAGGGCTTCCTGGTTTTCAAGTTCCCCTCACCTTGTTTCAGTCCTTTAGTACCAGAGGTTTGTAGACTAGCGTGAACATTGACAAATGGTGAATAAAGGTACACCCGCTGTTGGATAGTGATCTGGTTATCCACATACAGTTGTTTAAAAATTTTGTGCCTAGCTGGGCATGGTAGCTAGCACATGCCTTTTTATCCCAGCATTCAGGAGGCAGAGGCAGTTGAATTTCTGTGAGATGGCGGCCAACCTGGTCTACATAGTCAGTTCCAGGCCAGCTGGGACTACAGAGCGTACCGTGTCACAAAAAGAAAAAAAGCAAACAAAAAATGTGTGCCTGTGTTCTGGAAGGATATTGGTAATAGTTTTCACACACTTTATTTTCTTGATATTAGTATCAGTTTAGTAAGAGTCCTATGAGATAGGGTGGGAAATCTTTTCTCCTTTATATTTTCTGGTAAAGCATTTTTTGGAATTTATATTTCTTGTTTAAATGTTTGAGAAAATTTAGAATTGTCTTTGTAAGTTTTACTTACAAACTCATTTTTAAAAATTAATTATTAGCTCTGACCACTATGCCGGCAAGTTATAGTCACACCTCCTTCCCACACTCATCAAGGAGTTAAGGGGGGAGTCAGTTACCCCTCCCACTTGATCAGTCCACCTTAGCTGCATGTGGGGGAGGGGATAAGGATATATAAGTAGAGAATGCCAGGAGGAACCCCTCACTATTTTCTGTGGCTGTTGGGAAGTCACAGGATCTATATTTGAGTGTGGACTTTCCAGTGCAGCCGTAAATGGGCAGCGTCCACTCCTCTGCAAATAAGCCCCCACCCTATGCTCTGAGAAAAAAAAAAAGAAAGAAAGAAAAATGATAGGCATTTGAATAGAGAGATGAGAAGGATCTGACTAGATGGCAAGTTGATGGACTTGCACTGGGGAACATCTGGGGACACTGACTTGACCGAGTGGGCCTTAACACCCAGGACAGAGCATATGGGGGGGGCTATGGGAGGATGCTGGTGGGGATGGGGCTATAAAGGTGGTTTAGATTGTTTGAGATATTCTGTGTGAAATACAACAAATTTAATAAAAACAAATTTTAAAAATTATTTCACTATTCATACTGTGTATTTTTACATTTTTAAGCTTTAGTAATCTGTGTCTTTCAAGAGCTTTTAAAAAAATTTTATGAGAGCTGTGTTAATCTTGGGCTAATTTTATCACAATATTAAGGCATAACCTGTCATTATTTTCTAATGATACCCCTGAACTATAAAGCTTGCCACTCTGTTGTAAATAGGCACTATTTTTAGCTCTGTGTGAACTTCAAATGTTTCCTTTTATTTAGGGTTGGTTTTCTCGGTCTTGAGGACTTGATGGGTTCTTTGAAGATATCAGAAAGAATTTGTATAACTCTCTTCTCCTCACTTCTCTGCCTCCCAAACTCCATGCCTTTTGGCTTTCCTAAGTATTTTGCACCATGCCTTTAAACTGGGGACACTGCTGGATCTTGAGTGATCATGGAGTTCACTATATTTGTTTTCCATCCCTAGAACTCTGTCCTTTGTTGCCTAATGTCTACTGTGTTGAATGCCTTTATTGCATATGCTCATCCTTTCTTCACTGGAAAAATATGAATCTTTCCCTTTTTTCTCTTTTGAGCAGATATAGAAGCCTGGTCTGTGAACTTTGAATATATATGGCTTTATTGCTCAAGGAGCTTTATTATTTATTACATACCCCTAGGCCTCTTAATTCAGTTTCTCCTCTTATAGACATTAGAGAAACAACCCAGTTAAGAAACTGAAAGTACTAAAAACTTTTATAAAAATTATATTCATAGAAGGCATAATAAACATATAGCTCTTCATAGCTGTCTTTAAAACATCTGTGGATAAAATTAAGGCACCCTTGGGTAGGCTGGGAAGAAAAATCCCTCACATCTTTGCCAGGGAAAGATTTAATTTGTTATCTCTATTAATTTATTGTTTTAAAATGTCTGATTTACAGGCAGGTCTAATCCTTCTCTCTTTTATTTCTTCTCCTTAGTGCCAGATGAAAGCAAAGTTCAGTCATTGGCTGATCACCGATCAGGTAAGAAATGCCTTGTAACTGGCTAGCTCTTCCTCTTCCTGGAAATTGCTGGCTGTGTTTTAGCAGCATTTGGAGTCTGTTTCTACCCACGAGCCAGTGAAAGGCTTTCTAATTAATACATGAGATGTCTCTGTCTTCCACAAAGATGAATTATTGCTTGGCTGTGTGCACAGTAGCATAATGCATGCTGATTCAAAATGTTTGAGTGAAGAAAGAAAGGTTTCCAAAATAATAATTATAAAACCAAAAATCTTAAACTTATATGCCAGATGAACACTTTCAACAAACCAAGAAAGTTCAAAATTCTTCCCTATGATGACTTTCATATTAAAACAGAAGGACAGAGCATTCCCAAGAAAGGTACAGTCATTTCTTTCTCAGAAAAAAAAAAAAAAAAGCTTGTGTATTTTGCCTGTCGTCATAAGGGATTGTGCCAGAAATGACTGTATTATCCCTCTTCTCCCCCATGAATGAGCTCCCCTGGTGTTCTTCAGGAAGTCACTTGGGTCTCTAGGGGTCTCCTAGGTCTGACTCTATCATGTATGAGGCACCTTTATGTATAAATCCCAAACCTTTTCTTTACTTTCAAGTAGACTGCCCTCTATCCTTTGTCCTGCTCTCAGCATCATTTATGCACATTATTTGAAAACACATAAAGTTAGTAAGAGAGCAAGTCCTGCAGTAATCCCCTTCCTCTAGGGCTGCATTATTTTGTAGACAAATATTCATTTGACTCTTAGACTTGCCATTCCAAACTGCAGAAGGGTTGTGATTTGTTGGCATTCCTCCTGTTCTGAAACAAAGAATTCTTCCCCATTGCCATGTTTATGTGCCAATTATCTTTCCAGCAGGAAGTGGCCTTGATGCCTCATTACCTCTGTCATGTTCCAGGGCAAGATTACGATTATTATTTTCTTTTCTCTTTTTCTAGCTTCCTTAGTGTTTACAGCAGGGAAGAGGTGGTTCACAACTCTTGAATTCCCCTCTCCCCCATTCTTTCTCATAAAGAGCCTAAACGGTTACACACTGAAAAAAAAGATTTTTGCAGGAACAATACATTGTCATATACTGTGTGTTCCTACCACCCTCTTCCACTAAATTCTTTACTACTAGGAATATTTTTAGCATCTGAGAAGGAAGAGCTTATAACCAAAGAGCCCCAGTCTGATTATTTTCACCTTAATTGCATAGGCCAACATTTAAGCTCACTTACATATATTTATAAGACTAAAAACAAATTATGTACTAACTTAGGATTTAGGGCCAAAAGTTTATATGATTTTTAAGAATACTGATCACCTGACTATGAAAATGAGTAAATAATAAGCTTTCTGGTTATTTCTAGGAAATTTAATCTTATTTTAATCTTAGTTTCCAAGCAATTTACCATTAACTGGTAATCAAAATTTATAGTCATTCTTTTTAACTGAGATCACCAATTTAGCATATTGCTATATTTTTAAGTTAAGCCTAAATGCTGACTTTTTAAATATGATATGCTGTAAGATAATAATGAAAAAATACTCTACAAAACTATATTATAATCTCACAAATTTTGAAAGACCAACAATCAAAAAATTTCATAGCTGACAGGTGGATTCCTTATAAAACTCCACATGGCAACTTTACATCAGCTAGCAATGGAAACAGTACCTGCAATCTTTATATCCTGTGAACCTTACTGTTAAAATATACCAAATGTTTTAAAAAAGACTTCTGTTGCTAATGTGTCATCACTTCAGCATTCACTGTCCTTCTGTCTTGAGATCTTTTATATTATCACTACATCATAAAGTGTTTCATTGGACATCTGCTGAACCAGTGTAAATGCTAAAAATCAACCAGAAAGTTGATAATTTTGGAGCAAAAGTGTCATAAAATGAATAAGGCCAAACAAACCACTAAAATTATATACTCCAGTGTTACAGTGAATGAGTGAATCTACCCTGTAAAACATTAGCGACACTGTGAGAAAATACAGAGCATTATTAAAGAAACATATGCGACTAAGTTTACAAATTTATATGCTCCCAGGAATATACCCCATGCCAGTTTATTTATTTACTTTTCTGGAAAATTAGTCTTAAATAATGGTTTTATTCAGCCATTCCTATCTCATGTAACAGCTCCCATACACGTTCTGTATTCTTGCAGAAGGATTTCTTGTGGGGTTTTGATGATGGAGGTAGTGATGTTATGCTAACAACAAAGGATTATGTGCCCCCTTAACTCTGACAATTTCTTTCAGTTAAACAATTTGAAAAATTAGAGCAGATGTAGATAAACAGGTGATATAAAAATGACAAATATATAGATTAGATAGATAGATAATAGATAGATAGATGATTGATAGATAGATAGATTGATAGATAGATGATAGATGATGATAGATAGATAGATGATAGATTGATTGATAGATAGATGATAGATGATGATGGATAGATGATAGATAGATTGATATATAGATAGATAGATGATAGACAGATGATAGATAGATAGATGATAGATTGATAGATGATAGATAGATAGGGATAGATAGATAGATAGATAGATAGATAGATGATTGATAGATGATAGATGGATAGATGATAGATTGATAGATGATAGATTGATAGATAGATGATAGAGATAGATACATAGATAGATAGATGATACATAGATAGATAGATGATAGATAGATGATTGATAGATGATAGATAGATGATAAGATGATAGATTGATAGATAGATGATAGAGATAGATACATAGATAGATAGATGATACATAGATAGATAGATGATAGATAGATGATTGATAGATGATAGATAGATGATAGATACACAGACAGACAGACAGATAGATAGATAGATAGATAGATAGATAGATAGATGGATAGATGATAGATAGGTAGGTAGATAGGTCAATCTGTCATGTCAATCTTTTACAGGTGAATCTATGGCCACTAAGTGGATTATCAGCCTATATATTAACTTACAAAGTTTTATAATCATATTTGTCTTATCAATATTCAAAGGATCCTTCAAAGTTTTGTTGCAATGTCTTTTCTCCTTACCAAAATCCTCTCCAGAATATTTAAGTAATAGCTCAGAATCTTTTTTTTTTACAAAGAAGAGTAACTTTCTCTCTATTCCAGAAATGTGGAGAATTTTAACATTATCAAAGACTATCAGGAAGTTAAAGCAAATTGAATTGTATACACTGACCTAAATATGCAATCCATTTTCTTATTTGGGATGATATTCAACATTTTAATAAATTCATCTGAGTTAAGGTTTCTTCTGAGTCAGTTACTCAGTGAGTAGAGAGCCATTTTGTGCCAAGTTTCATCTGCTGGTCTGGCTTTGGGTGCATCCCAATCTTGTGACAAGTTTTTTGGCATCTTTTCCTTGGCTTAATCTTTAAGTGGTTGATGCCTCAGAGCTCAGATCAAATCAAAGGCTCAGGTGAGATAAATCTTTCTATAATTTTCGGCCCGAAATACAGGTTCCCTCCACCCCTTCTGGAATCAACACATTATTCTTGAGGTGCCTGTAACAACCTGCTTACTGCATGAACTTCCCCTAAGAACACATCTTGTCCCATTACCTTACTGAGGTTTGTGAGCTTGTGGGAGTTTTCTCCAAATATGGGAGGTCTTTATGTCTATGGAATATTAAGACCTACCCAGAGAACTGAGAAATAAATTATCTTCTGTTCAGTTCCTTTAAGAAAACATCACAGTTCTATTGAGCCTTGAAAAAAAAATGTTTTTAACATCTTTCCCTGACTCATTAATTGAATAAAATTCAGATTCTAGAAATTCAGGGCAAAAAAAAAAAAACAAACAAACAGAAAAATACATTTAAAACAAGATAACAATTGTTAAGATGACTTCAATAATCTGAGGAATCATTAGAATCCTGAGAAAATGAAATCAATTTGGCACCTAATATTTAAAAGTTTTGGTTTAGTTTTGCTTATACAGAGTATAAATAATAAAGGAATCTGATGAAGAATTCTTATTTTTCCTCTCCATACTGAACTGAACTTCAACCAAGAGTTAAATGCATCTCTGTATGCAGTCAGAAAGGGCTTATAAATTTTGCTTCTTTTTTCTACTGTGTCGTCTCCTTTTTCTGTTGTTTTGATTTACTGCTTGGAACTGTTTTAATATGTATTGACTGTCTGCAGGGATCTTTGCTGACCCAGCTCTTTAAGATGATGCAGTACTGAAGAAAGCCAGTGAGTTCCTCTTTACGAGCTCTGACATATTAATTAGCAAAATGGACTAAAAAGCTTTCCTGTTTCTGTTTTAATTTCTTATATTCTCAAACACCTGTCCATATAGTTGTAAAACAGGCAAGTCTGTGAAAGTAATGGCTAGCAGTAAGTTCAGACCTCTTCTGAGATAAGTTTATCAATTAAGGAGCATGTGCTCATTAGCAGTTGAGGAGTATCTGTATACAAGGTGCCTTGAATCCACCGAGTTTACTTGATATCTTAACACAGTTACCAATGAAGAAACTAAAGCTCAGAGCATTTAAATACTTGCTCTCTCAGCTGGCCTCTGTGGGCCTAGGAAATGAACCCATGCTTTTGGGGAACTGAGAAGGTAGGAGGTAGACACAGTTCTCACATCCCATTCTATTTGGCATATGTATCTAATGCATCCTGATTTTTTAATAAACTCAGCTGAACAAATAACACAAATATCAGACCTTGGTAGCCTGGTGAATATGAGGGGTAACTAAAGGTGATCATTTTGTCTTTATTTTCCTTCATGAAAGCAAGAATGTGCACATGTGTATGAATGAGTGGGTCAAGTTGAGAGACACATGAGAGAGAAAATATGCATGCATTGTCTGTAAATTATATTAAAGAATACGTGATATTTCCTTATAACAAAAGTTAATATGGAAGTTGTTACTTAGGTTCCAGCCTCTTACTCTGTTCTAAATACAATGTACAAAAACTTCAAATATAGATTCTTTTTTCAAAATGGGGCCTAGGAAATTTCTGGATCTTTCTAAAAGAATAGAGCTTTTGAGCTAGGTGTGGTGGTACAAGCCTGTGATCTCAGCACTTAAGAGGCAGATAGAGAAGGATCATGAATTCAAACCCTAACTGGGCTAGACAGTAAATTTCAGGCTAGCCAGGACTTTACAGTGAGATATTGTTTAAAATAAAAATTAACCCTAAATTAATGAATCAAGAAGCAAATAAATAAAGCAAGCCTCTAAAAGCATATGGAGACTAATCACTTCACTGTAAGAACACCAAGCTACTAAGTGAAATTTCACAAACTTTTTGTTTTCATTTTATAGAATATTTAAGTTAAAATGTTATTTTAATAATATAAAATATAAAAATATAATGGTGGCTATTTTTAATGTTTGAGTCTTCTAATTGGATCTCTATTTTTCATGACTTTTTGTGGTACTTTGGATGAGGAAATAAAATTTCAGTGTTAGGGTTAGTGGACTTGATCCCTGATCCTTTCCCCATCAATTAGTTAAGGTAAAAACACACATACCTGTTTAGATAAATACCCTTGCTGGAACCTTGTAAGATTTTGTCATTTGTCCTATTAGTTAATACAGTGCTAGATAGAAGAAACATAGAAATTTCCTTCTATCTTCAGCTTTGGC